CATGTAACCTCATATGGATGTGAAAGCTGGACAGGAAATAGGGAAGACCTTAGAAGAACTGATGCATTTGAGTTATGATGTTGGAGGAGATATTGAAGGTACTGCCAAAAGAACAAATAGATCTGTGACGGAAAAATTATAGCCAGGGTACTCCTTGGAGGCCAGGATGGTCAGACTTCATCTCTCATACTTCGGACATGTTGTCAGAAGGAACCCGTCACTGGAGAGGGATATCATGTTTGTTAAGGTGGGGGGTCAGAGGAAAAGAGGAAGACCCCCAGTGAGATGGATTGGCAAAGTGGCAGAATCAATGGGCTCAAGCATGGTGACAATTGTGAGGTTGGCCCAGGACCCGGCAGTGTTTTGTTCTGTTATGCATAGGATCGCTATGAGTCAGTACCTATTTAATGGCACCTAACAACAATGCACCAGACTGCAAAGCCTTTTGAACTTCAAGGTCAGCACTTCAAGCTCACCAGCTGCTCCCTGGAAACCCTATAAAGGGTCACTATGGGTCGATGGCACTTAACAACAACAACAATTGACACTTCTCAGATTTTGAGTGAAAATATTTCCTACATTAAATTTTTCTAATTTGTCCACAGACTTTACTTTCAGAAGCTTATATAGGGAAAATCATAACAATGAAACTTAAAAAGATAGCACTATTTTACAGCAACAAATGTTAAGATGATGTATAGCACAACAAAAGTAACTGTGAAAAAACATTACTCTAACTTGTTTTTTTTTAATGTTTATTTTGGCAGATACACTTAGAATTTTTTATAGTAATGCATGGAGGGAAATCAGAACAATCCACAAAGAAGGTTAAAATACTTACTTTAAGTTATATGAACTGTATATATTTCTAAGGAAGTTCTCATACACATTCTACGTTAAGCATTATTCATTTGTCCTGACCTAATTAATTGAAACTTATAGCTTTGGGTTTTCCTGTTTCATGCTGAACCAAGGAATGGAAAGATACCTGCATACCCTTTCTAAATGATCTATTGGTTTTCCTGTGCTTCACATTTTTGCTGATTCTGGAAATATTTACACTGCAAATTTAGTTTTGCTCCCAAGTCCCCATTCTTGTAAAAAAAAAAAAA